GAATAATTATCTCATACAGGGAAATTTATTAAATGTGTTTTCTTTAGGAAAATATTTGTCTCTCATTGGAAATAGGATAAGAATACAATGGGGCCTTTTGTTAAGATTGCTTGTTGAAAAAATATATATTTTATTGATTTTTTTACAGAGAGGAAGGGAGAAACATAGAGAGAGAAACATCTATCAGCTGCCTCTTGCACACCGACTACTGGGGATGTGCCCGCAACCAAGGTACATGCCCTTGACTGGAATCGAACTCAGGACCCTTCAGTCCACAGGCTGATGCTCTATCCACTGAGCCAAAACGCCTAGGGCAAGGTTGCTTTCCCCCCTCTCTTAAAGGTCTAGTTAGGAGTGAGATAACTTACTTATCTCAGCCAAGACAGTCTCCCAGGAATTAGCCATGCCATCTTCATTGCTAATTACCACAGAACAACTCCTGACTATTTTCTGCAGAGGATCTGGAGGTAAGGGTGTAGAGAAAGGCTTTATAACTCATAACCATGTTTTTTTTTTTTTTAAGATTCAAAGTCCATTCAGTGTTTTACAGACATCTACAAAATCAATCAAAAGAAAGAATAAATGCAGATACCTGGGGCAATAAAAAATCCAAAGCCAAGTAATGGGGGTGGGAAGGTAATAGTGTTTTTTTTTAAATGTCTGGTAAGTTTCCCTGAGCAGTGATTCCCTTTCCCACTGTTGGCCATCAGGTACTTTCCACATTTAAATGATTATAATCCCTCAGGATGGCAAAATCTTGCCAATGTATACTCAAACACTGCTTTTTCCATGCCTTTCTTGAGTATCAAAAAAAAGCAAACTCAGCATATTATGCAGGCATAAGGCTGCATTCCAAACTAGAAGTCTATAGGATATTAAATTTAACCTTAAAATGGTACTTACCAAGCCCTCCAGAGTAAGGTATGAGAGAGGACAAATGAAAAACAAGTTAACTTTTTGTTCAAATTATTTAAAAAGCAATGCTCTTGCTTTACCTTTATTCAACATGAAAGCAACGCCCTAGCCGGTTTGGCTCAGTGGATAGAGCGTCGGCCTGCGGACTGAAGGGTCCCGGGTTCGATTCCGGCCAAGGGCACATGTCTACGTTGCGGGCTTGATCCCCAGTCGGGGGCATGCAGGAGGCAGCCAATGATTCTCTCTCATCATTGATATTTCTATCTCTCTCTCCCTCTTCCTTGCTCTCTGAAATCAATAAAGAAATATATTTAAAAAAAGAAAGAAAGAAAGCCTTTTCTCAGGATACTCCCTCTGCAATCCTTTCTGAGTGGGGTAGTGTTTTCTTAGAATCTTTTTCTCTTCCTGTCTTAGTGCAGGCCTAGCTGTCCGTTAAAAGAAGGTTTCCTTGATTTTCCCAGGCAGAAGTGATCATTCCTTCCACGGTAATTTGTACACACTTCTACGCTAGCTCATGTCACATTATGATTATTTGTTTAGGATTCTGTCTCCCCCAGTCTATGAGCTCCTTACAGGCAAGGGCCGTGGCTTTGTACCCTCAAGGCCTAGCACAGGGTAAACTCTCAATACACATTTGTTTTATATTATTGAATCACATACAGAATGGCATATTCCAAACACAATAGTCCCCTCCTATCTGCAGTTTTGCCTTTTGTGATTTCAGTTACCTGCAGTTAACCAAGGTCCAAAAGTATTAAACAGAAAATTCCAGAAATAAGCAATTCAAAAGTTAAACTGTGTACTCTTCTGAGTAGCATTAGGAAATCCTGAGTCTGAATCTTCCCCTTGTCCAGAGTATCTCAGTATCCATGCTGTATCCACCACCCACCCATTAGTCACTTAGTAATCGTTTTGGTTATTTGGACTATTCAGGTAATCCTTACTTTACTTACTAGAGGCCCAAAGTCTTTCACAAAACTGTTATTACAGTATATTGTCATAATTGTTCTATTTCATTAGTAGTTATTGTTGTTAATCTCTTATTGTGCCTAATTGATAAATTATACCTTATCATAGGTATGTTTATATAGGAAAAAACATAATATGTATGTTGAGTACTATCCGAGGTATCAGGCATCCACTAGGGGTCTTCAAACATATTTCCCTTGGATAAGCAGGGACTACTGTAATGAACTCTTACCAGAAGTCTAACCAGCTCAAGGAGCACGACTAGGTAAACTTTGTGTTTTCACTGTACCCCAACTTTATGAAAACAAGGAAGAAAGAAACCAGTTATAAATCCTGACTCTGTTTTCGTGAGAATGTTGAACTTTGCCATAATAGTTCTAGTACGTTATTTACTGGAATGTGAGCAAACAAGTTTAATAGAACAATGAGCTCTGGTGCAAGGCAGGAAATAAAAGAAATAATTTCCAGTGTGAAGTGAGATAAAATACTGGTTTAAAAAAACCAGGAACTGATAAGAAGTAAATCATTTGGTTCGCACATATCCCCCACTACCTGTTCTTGTATCAATATATGCACACAAGATCACAGCTGCTTATTAGGTATTTCTGAACACTACATTTTTTTTTCAAAGTTGTTCCCTGTTTCTGAAAGTGAAAATGAACAACCAAAAGAGCAAATCCACAGAGAACCTTTGATGCTCCTCACACCTGAACAGGGCCTGCCCACAGTAATTCATTCTATCCTTTCTATTCCTTAAGAGTCTGGCAATTGGACGTGGCGGCTCCTTGTTTGTGCAAGGAGCTGTGGGTATTTGGAGAGAAGGGTGGAACAGTAAACACAGGATTGCACTGGAAACATTTCAGATGAAAGTAATTCAATATCTGTTACTGATAAGTCTTCTTGGTTAAAACCAATTTAAGTGGGAAGAAAGCACATGTCGGTTGTAGCTTTAAGAATAAAAAGGTGAGCCCTAACCAGTTTGGCTCAGTGGATAGAGCATCGGCCTGCGGACTGAAGGGTCCCGGGTTTGATTACGGTCAAGGGCATGTACCTTGGTTGCAGTTTCTCTCTCATCGATGTTTCTAACTCTCTATCCCTCTCCCTTCCTCTCTGTAAAAAAAATCGATAAAATATATTTTTTAAAAAAAGAATAAAAAGGTGATAGCCCTAGCTGGTTTTGCTCAGTGAGTAGAGCATTGGCCTGCGGATTGAAGGGTCCAGGTTCAAGGGTCCGGGTTCTATTCCAGGCCAGGGCACCTGCCCGTGTGGTTGCCTCGATCCCCAGTAGGGGGCGTGCAGGAGGCAGCCATTCAACGATTCTCTCATCATTGATGTTTCTATCGCTCTCTCCCTTCCTCTCTGAAATCAATAAAAATATATATTTTTTAAAATGTGGGGAAAAGACAGCGAGTCTCCTCAACACCTATCTACAAGTGCGCATTTCCAGGGATTCAAAGGCTGTAAGGGAACGTTCCCTTGGTGCGGTACACAGACTCTCCCAACTTCTCAAGGTAGGCTAACTGACCGAATCTTGTCAGTTACCAATGGAACCTCATTTCGAATATCTATTATCAAGCAGGATGGGGAAAGTGGTTTAAAATACCAGCATTAGAAAAATTGATGTAATCAGGAGTTGTGTTCCTTTTAATGACTAAGATACCCTGTTGTTCACCAAAGCGCTCACTCAGACAAGAGTCTAAAGATGAAAGAGTCTCTAGGTTCCAGGAAAACACGGGCAGAGAGAGTAGATCTAATTTTCCACGATTTCCAATCCACTCGCTCTTCACCAGCCCATCTCCCCAATCCCTAGGGTCGGGGCACTCCATCAGCAAAGGTGCCAGGTGTTTGCTAAGGTGACTGCAAGGTGAGCGGAAGCAGCGCTGCTTTCGTTGGTTGCTCGGCTGCCCTCTCAATCCTCTCTTCGCCCTTCACGTCATCAAACCTTCGGGGACACCTCTCACCACGGGTCCCCAGGCCGTTTTGTCCTCCTGTCCACACGCCTGTCTGAAGCTTCCTGTCTCGGACGCGCGTGCTCACCTAGACAGGTCGGCTGCTCACCACCGCTACGTAGCCTCCATCCTGTGGGCATCGCCACCCACCCACCCCCTCCTATGCCCATACCCCTCGGGACCCGGCCCCCGCTGCTCACCTGGTCCTCGCCCCGCAACCGTGGCCGGTCCCCCGGCAGCCCGTCGCTCTCGTCGCAGGCCAGGTCCCCGGGCTCCCCGTAACCCAGGACGTG